CAAAAATTACATTGTTTGCAACAAGAGATGAAAGAAGAAGCAGAACCGTAAGAGAAGAAGAGAGTGGTTTCATTAAACATCAAAACGTAACAACCAATTAAATAGCATAATTAAATGATAGATCAAAACTAAAATCTATTATTAATAGCCTTTAATTCGGTGTCAAAACGAAGTTTAAAAAAAAGTGTTTTGGTTAATTTATCCGGTATCAAAATGAAAATGAAAAAAAAAAAAAAAAAAAATGATAAGTAATTTTTAGTGTTTGACAAACTCTTATTTTATGTTTAATAATAAAATAAGTTATCAAAAACTCATTAAATAAACCAATAAGTAAGTAAAAAATGACTTATCAAAACTCTATTTAAGTTAATAGGTAATCCCAAACATATTGTGTAATATGGTTATTAGGTTATATATGGTTATATTGTGTGGTTCAACCTTTCACTCCAAATTCACGTGGTAAAACTTGCTAATAACTTTGTAATACAAAAAAGATTAACCAGTTCAACCCAGTTCTTAATACCTTCACTATTTTCAATGACAGCTTTGTCTAATAATCTTATCTAATCTCCAAAAAAGTCCTAGGTGTGAATCTTATGTATACAAGACATAATAACAGACTTACTAATAACTTAACAACAAATTTAATAAAGTGATCAGATTATTGAAATTACGTATAGTATTAACAAACATTTATTGACACAAAATACTAAAGGTATCATCCACAATTTGAAGATATTTCGTCGTATTCAATGTTAGGTATTTTATCACTTGCCTAACAATTTTACGTGCGCTCACTAGTGATTCATAAATAAACATGTTTTTGTAGTGTTTAACCTTTCTTTTTCAGATTTTACGTACGTGTATAAAATACCCAAAAGTAAGTTGACGATTAACGATAGGTGTAGGGAGATTGCCAAGAGTAGGAGTCCGACACAGAAATGACGGACATAAATGACGGCCAAATGACGGTCATGACAGAAGTGCATGGACCAAATGCATCACTCAAGTGCATGACCCAAATGCATGACTCATTTGAACCTAATTAGAAATGGCATTCACATATTATTGGATTAAGGTGTCTAAACTTATAATTAAATTGGTATAAACTTGCAAATAGAAGCAAAATCTTTTTTGAATTGTCCTCGTAACCAAAGACAGTTAGAATGACATTAGGAGAGAGAGAGAGAGAGAGAGAAATGATTTTTTGATATATTATGAGATTAATATATTAATTAGAAATAAATAATTGATCTATTAATTAGTTATGTGATTAATAAATTAACATGAGATCAATAGTTAAATAATTGATTTATTAATTGATAAATTAATGAAGAATCAATACGAATTAATTAATTGTTAATTAGATGCATGACCCAAATGCATGACTCATCTGAACCTAATTAGAAATGACCTTCACATATTGTTGGATTAAGTCGTCTAAACTTATAACTAAATTTGTATAAGCTTGCAAATAGAAGCAAAATCCTTTTTGGGTTGTCCTCGTAATCAAAAATAGTTAGAATGACAATAGGAGAGAGAGAGAGAGAGAGAGAGAGAGAGAGAGAGATGATTTGTTGATATATTATGAGATTAATATATTAATTGGAAATAGATAATTGATCTATTAATTAGTTATGTGATTAATAAATTAACATGAGATCAATAGTTAAATAATTGATTTATTAATTGATAAATTAATGAAGAATCAGTAAGAATTAATTAATTGTTAATCAGAATTAATCTAAAATTAATTTGGGATTAACTGAAATTAATTAAAGATGCTGAATTGTAATTGCTCAATAGTTGAACAAACGAATCAGTTATTATACAACCCTCCATGATATGGATGGTTTTGGCTTGATTCTTAGGGTTTATGGAAGCATCTTGGATGTAGATGAGGAAATAATTTAAATTGTGATTAAATCTATTATTTAATTAATTTAAATAAGGCTTTGCCTGCAAGTTACCTAAACTATAAATAGGACCCCAAGACCAACAAAACTTCCGTTCATACCTTTACCTACAAGCTTAGGAACGAAACTTCTATCTCTCTCCTCTTTATCCTCTTTATTTTAGGGTTTCTAGAGTTTTGGTTGTGAGCTATCAGAGACATCATACTTTTGATGCTTGTTTTCTAAAGACAAAGGAAATGATCAAAGACTTATTTGCTATAATAAATCTAAAGATATGCGAACCCTAATTCATGAATTTCGATTTTCATAGAGTTCCTTTAGGGTTCTTGAAATTCATAGTGTGTCTATCAATTAGAGAAAACATAGATCCTTTATAGGTTGTATGTGAACTTAAGTGTTAAAATTTTCCGCTTTACATGTTTTTGATAACGTATAAAACCCATTATCGTTCCTTGAAAAACACGAATGAGGAAAACGGGAAAACAAATGCAAATGATTATTTTTCAATTGTAACAATTTAGTTGTAACAAAAAAAGAAGTCGATGATATAGAATGACATTTAGTGGAACAAAAAATACACATGATGGAGCAAGGGTTGTGTTTTATGCATGAAAACGAAGGGATAAATATTTGCAATTTTGTATATAAATGTATGATTATTTGTCCAGAACAACGTCGACTACGGTCCTACCAAAAATGATGGGAATAGAAAAAATATGATTGAGAATGAAACTTTTTATGTATGATTTTATCAAATATTGTATTCCCTTTTTATTTTAATTTAGTCTTGTAATATTTGTTCATTAATGATTTTTTTAGTTAAATAATCGTTTTATGTTTGTAATGACTTTTTGTTTATTTTAATCATTTTATTGATAAATTGTTTTAGGGATAGAATGAAAAGAATAGATGACTATTTTTAGATGTTAAATAGAAGGAAAAAATGAGAAGCAAAAATGAAAAAAATAATAATAATAAATAAACGAAAAACTAATATAACCATGAGATCACATTAAAGTAATAAAATAACGTAAGGCATGATTTTGGCGGCAATATCAACCTCAAGTTTTTACGAGTTTTGTCGAGTCACGTCGTTTGTAAGGCGTGACTTAAGACAATAATTATCATATATAATTAATATTTTTATATGTATTTTTAATTATTTATGCCATTAATAACTTTTTAGAACCATGGATGATATGAATAGACGCCGACCTTAAAGGACCATTTTTACGTTTTTGTTTTCTATGATATATTTATGTTATTTGATGAGATTTCGTGTATAATAACATTAAGTCAAATGTAGCATTGTCTTCAAGCCTTGATCACTTGATCAGACATATTTACCATTAGGCTTTATATGATCTATGGGTCAACGAGTTTGGCCAAACATGCAATTGGGCCTTATTGGATCGTGATTTTGGTTAATAATAATAATTAAAATAAAAAAAAAAAGTAATGTCAGTATCAGTATTTAATTGCAATTTACTATTTAGTACGGAAAACAAAAGACAGTAAGATACACATCCTTTAATAATCCAACTAGATTATAAAAGATTAAAAAACACAACAATCAGAAATATCAATATACAAAACCTTTGTAACTTTTAGTATTTAGTTAGGATAAAACAAATGATACATAACCTTTAATAGTCCAACAAGATTAAAAAAGATAAAAAGAAATCCAAAAAGAAAATTTTATGCTAAAGTTTCTCATTTGACCAAGCTTTCAAGATTTTTTTATTGTATTATAGATATTTAAGCATGTCAAAAGGTATACTAGTAATGGCATATTATATTAATTTTTTTTGGAACGTAGCAAATCTAATTTATTTTTATTAAACTTGAACCATCGACTTTAAAAAGTGAGTGCAATACCTGATAGTGTTAGACTATAAATACTTCGGTAATTTTTTTTACGTAATATGTGTTTTTTTATAAGTTCTAAATACATTTTAGACATGGATGTCTTTTAAAAAGGAAAAAAAAAATCAAATTGTAAACCAAAAAGTATCACAGTTTATCTCAAATTATGCTATTATTGAGATGGTTTTTATTGTAGGGGAATCTTGTGACACTTAAATAACTTTATATCTAAAAAGTTTTTTTGTGTGATTTATTCGTAATCAAATCAAATCGATGGCGACTTGTAACTCAATTGTTAAGGTTATACCATCTAAACTCCCACTACTTATAAACATCCATAGAAAACTAAACAAAAGTACATGTAATAAAATATAATTCTACTTCTGTTTACCCAAAAGGGAAAAAAAATTTACAATCGACTAAAAGAAAATATATATATATATATATATATATATATATATATATATATATATATATATATATATATATATATATATATATATATATACTAGCTGTTACCCGCGCACAGCGGCGGGGACAAATAGCTTCTTTCAACGATATTTTTTAAAGAAAAATGTTATGTTCCAAAAGAAAGTTCACGTCATGGGTGAGAGGAAGGGTAGTAGTCGTGATAGTGGTTGGTTGAAGGCGGAAGGAGGTAGAGCAGTTGTGGTGGTGGTGGTTATACTGTCTTGGTTACTGGTTAGGGTTCTTCGAGAGAGTGTGCGTATATTTCTTACTTTGAAGGGATTACGAAGATAGATATTATGAGATGGCTTGTTACCAATGTGAGAGAAGAGATCCTCTATAAATTGTTGACATTGACCTTTTCAAATGGCTGAAGTGTTGAGATTGACAGGTTCAATTTGCAAATGAATTCTTCTATTAACTTGATACGAGATTTTTAGGGGATAAAGAATAAGGTTAAAGTTTTAATATTATTATATTATAAATGGGTTGTACTTCAAGCTTAATAGTTTGGACGTCTTAAAAAAATAATATTATTATATTCAATCTATTTATAGAAATAGTTAGATTTCTTTTATAAGTAGTAAAGATATATATATATATATATATATATATATATATATATATATATATATATATATATATATATATATATATATATATATATATATATATATATATATATAAAAATGAAGTTGTTAAGTGTTAAAGAATAATAGTATAGGGACTCCATTGCACTAAAAACAAAACTTAAATTCTACTCTCCAATTTATCAGCAACGCAAACCGGGTTTTGTTCCTCCAAAACCGCACGGCCGGCGGTTTTGAAGTCAAAATCACATGCATGTTCCTCCGGCATCCGATGCAACCCACAGAAAGTCCGACCACACCGACAACCAAACCCTATCAACCCGACCCGTTTGTTGCAGACCCTGCATCTGTTCTTGGTCTTGATTATGTTAAGACTTTGATGATTGTTGTTGGATGGGTTTTTATCAGGTAATACATTCACATGATCAAGAATCGTATCCGTATGTTTACATGTCTCCTTCTTGAACTCAATGTTAAAGCAAACAGAACAGAGGTTTCGGGTATTTGGATTTCCATAAAACCCGCAACCCGTTTTGCAAAGTTGAGGTGTTTTTGATTGATCGTGCATCGCCATCTCTGTTTCTTCTTCTTGCTTTAGTCTTGAACTAGTTGAAGGTTTCTTCGTGGTTGTTAATTGCATGAGAATTATGCAGTGGAGTTTGAAGTAATTGGGAGTAAGAATGTGGAATTGGATGAGAGTATGGAAAGGTATCCAGATGGGAACTAGGAGCATATACAAATTCAAATTGATATTTGATAATAGTATATTTTAGTACATTTATTAGATATAACAAATAATTATCTATAATTTATTTGGTAACCTTTTTTTTTAGGTGCAGTTATTGTAGTTTACTTCACAATTTTAATTACTAAGAAATATAACTGAAAATTTAATGCACATTCTACACAAAGAACAAAGCCTTGTAAAATGTGAAGATTATAAACAACCTGATTTCAAGTAATCTTTAAATTAGACGCTTTTCACTATCCCAAACCCAGAAAAAAATGGTCCAAAAGAAAAACAGGAATCGATACTTCATGCTTCATCTGGATGCACCAATATCCAACCCATAAAACTTGTTCAAAAAATGGAAATCATGCCTCATATAACATGAAACGTAGAAGTTAAAAAATGATGATGCAAATTTTCTGATATGAAAACTTTAACTTTATTCAAATTTTATTTTGGAGCGCAAATCATGCCTCATATGAATGAAAATAGTGTATCAAAAACCCAAAGTTCACATCATCTTATTATTCATTAAAGAATCCAAATCAATATCTTCTAATGCAACAGGATCATCGTCATATTTTCCGACAATATCAAATAGAAATTTAATTTTAAAAAAAAAACTTAAATTCAAATTAAAGGATAATAATAATATTGATGGAATACGTAAAATACTAAAATGGAGAAGATAGCAATTGAAAAGGGGAAGACACAACAATTTTTTTTTCATACACAACAATGTATGCTTTATTGAGTTGTACAATACAACAGTTTAATGTACAAATTGTTGTGTATGAAAAAATTTTGTTGTGTACGAATCAGTTCCCATTGAAAGATTGTCGATTCGTTGTTATATGGTGTCTCCTTTGTCAAGCAAATTTTCCCGGTCGTCTTAATATTAGCTCTCCTTCCGTTACTTTTCAACCATCCAAAACTCTGTTTATCGATACATTTGTAACCAACCAGATAATAAACATTTTCTTATCCTTGAGCCAAGGAATTAATAAAAATATTAATATATTTTAAAACAACAATAAAGAAAGTAAATAACTAAGTTTGAAATAAATAATAAATAAGTTATAATAAACGTAAACGCAGTTAGTAAGGTTTTGATGTTCCAACCGACTCTTTCTTTAGAGTGTTGTATGTTTTTTTAAAGGAAAAATGTATGTAGTCTACGGATTATATTTGTATTTTAACATCTACAGACTATTAGAATAAACTAAAATCTAATTAAACTGACTAAAAAAATTAAATAAAAAAAAAAAAAAAAAAACTTAAAAGAGTTTTTCAATAATTTTATAGCTTTATTATATATAATTAATAAATATTGATCAGTTTTTATGTATTATTGTACAAAAATGAAAATAAAATGATATGAATTAACGTATATATTTGATAAAAATTCAAGAAACTTTGGTCGCAAAATTATATCTAAACATGGTAATCAAAGATAAAATATTTAACACATAAATTAGATGGAAATAAACTTTGATTTTAAATGAAAATTTTCAAAATTTTTATTTTATTTTTTCAATTAAATCAATTAAAAACTGGTTTCATCGCACATACAGAAAAGACCAAAAAAATCTACAAAAAAAATAAAAAACACATTAATGTGGATTTTGTTTCTTTCAAAAACACTCTAATGTCGCTCACGCCCTGGAGAGGATACTCGTTGAAATTCTTTCAAAACACCTCAATTAAAAAAAAAAAAAAAAAAAAAGGAAACATGTGGAAAATTGAAGGCTTAACGATCCGTTTGTAATTTGAATTTTAAGCCAAAATGCATCTTCTTTCGGATTTGAACAGCATTAGGGTGTTTTGAAATTATCAACACTAAAAGAAGGAATTAATTGGAAAATGGAAGGCATATTGACCTTGTTTACGTCATTATAGTGTGTTTACAAAATATGTAGCTTATTCTTTCAAATTTCTTTTTTACAATCTTTAATGTTTTAAAATATATTAATATTTTTATTATTTCTTAGGTTCAAGGATAACAAAAGTTCTTATGGTCTTGGTAATTCATGATGTATTGATAAAACCGAGTTTTGAGTGGTCAATAAAGTAACAAAATAAGAACTAAATTATGACGAGTAGGGAAAATATGTTTGACGAAGAGCCTCCAAACTGCAATGAATCAAAACCTTCTCGATCACAAGTTTCTCTAAGTTAGCATTTGCATATTCTATCAAATATTATTATTATCCTTCCATTGGAATTTCAAAGTATTCTGAAGTTGATTGTTTAAAAATTAAACTTTGCATGTTTAGATTTTGAATGTTTGGTATTTTAATTTTGGAGAATATATATAAATATATATATATATATATATATATATATATATATATATATATATATACATATATATATATAGAGAGAGAGAGTTAGTTTCAAATGTTTTTGACAACTATTGTGTGACTGAATGCACCAATAGGAATTGAGGAATAATTAAATAATTAAAAAAATTGAATAAGGGTAATTATGTAACTTTAGAATGATAATTAAAATAAAATCCCTTAATTAATGGGAATTACCATAAAAATCTCTTTGACCAACTACTTAACCCTAGCCTTAAATCTAACTCATCATCGTTTCTAATCCACGTCTTCTGATTCTTCTTCTACAATCAATCATCAAGATTCAAAACTCATTACCAGGTAATTATCCTTCTCCAATCAATTATTAAGATTTTTTTTCTTTTCATAAACTCATTTTTTTCTTTAATCGATCAATTCATCGGTGATGATGGTGGTGGAGGCAACTTGTCACAAGAATTGATGGAAAACGCGTGTAGCCTCTTCCTCGTATCCTCCGCTACTTATAAAATGGTTCGATTATGTCTCACGGTTGGCTTCTTCTACTGCTCCGCTTCTTCACAAGACTAAACCATTGTAACTGAAGATGAAAAGGGCGTCGCCACCAAATAATTTCAATCCCAGGTACTTTTAATTTTTTTTAGGCTAGTAATTCAAATTGACATCTGATACTGGTGCACATAATCTCAAAAGTACTTAACTTTTGATTGTGAATTATGTTTTCCAGATTTCAAAACCCAATTTTGATTGCCAAAATTGGTAAGACTATCACTAATTTTTTTGAAGAAACTGAAGAAGCACACCACGTATTTGATAAAATGTCTCAATGAAAAAATAGTTAAAAATCATTAATGTTTTTACTTCACTTTGTTCCTTATTCTTTTCAGAACTATATAACTCAATTTAGATTGGGTTGGATGCCATTTTCATAACAATAGGTTGATGCTAATTCCTTATTCTGTCAGAATTTGTAGTTTAATACATTGAACATATCGAGAAGAAACACATGGAACCCGAAGAATGTTAGTTCCTTATTCTATCAGAATAGGTTGATGCTAGTTCCTTATTTTGTTTGTTGGATATATTCTTGATAATACAAATTCTTAAATAATATTCTTGCAGAATAGTTTATTTTGTAAGAATATTATTTGTTGTATTCTGATAGAATTGTAGCTAATTATTTGTATGTTTAATGTGCAGGTTTTACAAGTGTATCACTACAAATTACTTGGCAATGAATTTCTGGTAGAAAAAGCTTCAAGAATGGCTTGAAGACCTGATGGGAAAGTGTTGAAGAATGAATTAAAGAATGATCACACTCATTTTTTAAGAATGTTGTTATTTTTTAAGAATTATATCTGTTTATTCTTGCAGAATTTTTGTTATTATTCAATGAATCACAATCATACAATGTAATTTTTTGATATATTATTAGTTCAAGAATCGATTTTGTGTATTCTTTCAGAATGTATTTACTAGTTTATGTTTGGCATTCTGCCATTCTGACAGAATAAAATCGAAAAATACATTCACTAGTTTATGGTTGACACTTTATCATTCTGACAGAATAAAATCGGATTTTTAAATTTGAATTAATTTAAAATATTCAGATTTTTAAAAAATAAAGGAATTAATCATCCCTAAAAATCCGAAAATTTCCTTTTTTAATATAGGTTAATTGACTAAAATGCCCTTATGCTAAAATTTGTGTGATTATATGGTACATGCTATCCTATTCTACTATCATAGACCCTCAAATCATGACATTTGATTATATTCTATCCGATGGTCCAGATCTGTGCATTCTGGCACACAATAGTTAGTAAAAACAAAATAACCTAACCCTATATATATATATATATATATATATATATATATATATATATATATATATATATATATATATATATATATATATATATATATATATATATATATATATAATGTAATAATTACATCATCTGGATTTTTAGATAGGTTCCACCATTTATCCGGTAAAACGATTAGTTCGGTTTTCAAAATAGTGGTGGGCTCTCAAAAGAAAATATATGAGCGGAGTAAAGGATACAAGGTAGTACTTAAAGCATCCATAATGATGAGTTCACTGAGAAAATTGAATGAGATGCAAGTCCATATATCATTCAATGGATGAAATTTTGAACTCTTCAATGGAAAAAAAAAATTAATTCTTAAATATTTACTATAAATTATATTTTGTAATATTTTATTAAACTATGTAGAATTCAATGCATTGTAGAGAAAAAAAAAAGTTTTATAAAATGTAAAAAAATAATGTAGTAATCCATTAAACACTATAAAGTTCAATGCATTATGTATGCCCTTAGGAACAGTTTTATTGTACAAATAATATTATAAATTAATAGAGAAAACATGATAAAGGGTAAAGAGTCTTTTTTGGTATTTGATATAACATATATCATTCAATGGATGAAACTTTGAACTCTTCAATGGAAAAAAAAAAAAAATTCTTAAATATTTACTATAAATCTATGTAGAATTCAATGCATTGTAGAGAAAAAAAAATAAAGTTTTATAAATTGTAAAAATATAGTGTAGTAATCCATTAAA